TATTAACATATAGGTGATTAAAGTAATTCAAAAGAAACATTAATATGTCAATTAATCACTATATAATGTTATTTCATTATGAGAAAGATTTAAATTTCATGAAAAAATATTGTATAGATTCTTAAGCATTATTCCTGAAAAATTGTTGTACATTCCTACCTCTTGGCGGCGCTACTTGTATGTTCGGCAAAAAATACTATCCTACTCCGGAGCTAAACCGTGAATCGACCGCGAAGCTATTTTTATTTTTTATAAGTGTAAAATAAAGGTTTATTGAATGATTTATTTTTATTAGAATAATAGAAATAAGTTGTATCTATCGTTAGGAATAAATATAAATGTTGTAAGGTATGTTTTACCACGTTTATTAAGGAAATTGTAAATCTTTCTTAGAAAGGGTTATTCTGTGCTCTGATTGGTCAATAGATTCACTAATGCCGTGTGCGATTTTTTCTTAATTATGATTGGTTACAGCCGCTTATAAAAAAGGGGCGTTTTTTCGTGGTAAAATATTCCAAATCCGGCAATGTAATAGTAAGGAATCAAGAAATATAAAATAAGAAGAAACTCTCAAGAAGTGTTATTTATTGCTCATCTAACTGCTACTGTATGCTCTCCAGTTAACATCCCGCCAGCAAACCCGCTCTATTTTATCAACGCTCCCTTATACGAGCAATTACAATTTTAATCTTTTTATATATACACATCAAGCTAATCACTTCGCAAAATTACCCTCTACTAAATTGTTTATAATATTCAACAAACTCTTTAACGACATTGCTAATGCATTTTATTATTTTATAAAAGTAGAATGAACAGTACATTTTCTACTATACAAGACATGGACGATTCAAAAATAGAGAACTCTATTCAATGTGATATACAGGATTTAACTAAATATATAAATGTTTTCAAAAATGACCTAACCTTAATATGCCAAAATATTCGTAGTATTTACAAAAATATTGATGACTTTGAATCTACACTATCGCATCTTAATTTTGAAGTTGATGTTCTTATGCTAACCGAGTGTAGACTTAGCTTAGACAGACCGCTACCCCTTTTATCTAACTATACATCACTTGCAACAAAATTTAATCTAAATCAAAATGATTGTGTAGTGGTTTATGTCAAAAATAATCTTAAGGCAACTATGAAAGAGGTGAAATTGGATCATGCTTCCTGTATACATATAAATATTTTTGACCATACAATTTTATGTATTTATCGTTCTCCGTCGAATCCAAATGCGACAAACTTTATCGACTCTATTAGTTCTTACTTGGACACAATAAAGTCATGTCGTAACATAATAATAACGGGTGATATTAATATAAACCTAATTCCTAAGCAAAATGAAGGATCGAATGAAACTAATAATAGGGATAATTATTTGAATATGTTGTCAATTCATGGAATGCTACCTGGTCACTCTCTACCGACTAGAGGCGCTAGCTGTTTAGACCATTTTATGTTAAAATTAGACAAAAGAAAATTTTCTTCGCACATAGCAATCTTAAATACAAGTATTACTGATCATTTAACAATTTTTTTGAAATTAAGTAAAATAAAACAAAGCAAAATGTATCGAAAACAGTAGAATTTGTAGACTACGAAAGAGCGCTCTCAATATTAATTCAGAAGAATATCTCTACATTATTATTTTGTGACGACACGAATGTAGTTGCCGAAAAACTTATAAAAAGCTTATCTGAATCCTTAACAGAGAGTAAAATTACAAAAAGAAAGCCAAAATCACAACGCACCATAAAACCTTGGATTACACCTGGTGTTTTAAGGTGCATTAGAAACAGAAATAAAATGCAAATGCAACTGCGTTCGGATCCTCACAATGTAATTTTAGTAATTACCTATAAAATATACAGAAATTTCTGTAACAACCTGCTAAAAAAATTAAAAGAAAATTTGAGAGAGAACAATTAAATAAAGCAAATAAGAATTCAAAAATATTTTGGAAAACAATTAAAGAAATAACAAATCTAAAACCTAATAAGACCATAAATTCTGATTTACTAAATATTAAATTAAACTTATGATTCAGTTAACTATGTTAACGACTATTTTTCAAACATTGGTAGAAAGGTTGCTGAGGATATCCAAAAATATGACACCTCTCCCGAACCTGACAGCCTACATAGCCTTAAATCACATTCATCATCATTTGCTTTATTAGAAACTGATCCATTGAAAATCTCTTGTCAGATCTTAAGTCAAATAGTGCACCTGGCTGGGATAATATCTCTACTCAGTTTCTGTGACAAGTATTCTAAATCCCTCGTAGTTCCCGTGGTAAGTCATTTGACTAATCTCTGCTTCCAAAAGGGTATTTTTCCGTCTTATCTCAAAAAATCTTTAGTGATTCCATTGCACAAGGGTGGAGGAATAGATGATGTCAATAACCATTCCCATTTCAGTTTTGCCTGCCGTTTCTAAAATAATAGAAAAGTTAATAAATAAACGACCTATCAATTACCTCGAAAGCTTTAATCTTCTTTCAGATAATCAATTTGGGTTTAGACGCGATAAGTCGACAGAAGATGCAGTTGTAGCACTAACATCTCATATAACTGAACAACTAGATCAAGGCCGTAAATGTTTGGCTATATTTTTGGACTTTAAGAAAGCCTTTGACACTGTTTCTTCTTTGATCCTTGTGCGGAAATTGGAAGCAATCGGTGTAAGGGGCATCCCGTTGAATTTATTCTTAAAGGATTACCTGAGGGAACGTAAGCAACAAGTAAAAATAGGTGACTACATTAGTGAAGAATCACCGCTTACCTTTGGTGTTCCACAGGGAAGTGTACTAGGTCCTACATTGTTCCTTATTTATATCAATACATTAACTAACCTAAATTTATTCGACGGTCGAATATTTTCTTATGCCGATGACACCGCAATAGTTTTTAAGGGAAATAATTGGAACTCGGTATTTAGAAATGCTGAATCTGGTCTATTAATAGTTTCAAAATGGCTCCAGAGTAACCTTCTTTCCTTAAATATTGCAAAAACTAAATATGTATGCTTTACGATTAATAATAGAACGCAACCAAATAATAACAATAGTTTAAAAATACATTATTGTGGTATTTCAAATAGTTCTAACTGTAAATGTACAGTTATCGATAAGGTCGCATCTATAAAGTATTTGGGGGTTGTTCTGGACCAACACTTGAACTGGCACTCTCAAGTTGAATATACGAGTAATAGGATACGGAAATTAATTTGGATATTTAGGAAACTAAGACATGTCACCTCTAAAAAATTACTAAATCAAATATATATTGCATTGGCACAATCCATAATGGGGTACTGTATCTCAGTCTGGGGAGGCAGCTAAAACAAAATTATTAGAAATCGAAAGAAGTCAGCGTTGTCTACTCAAAGTTGTGCATTTTAAACCACTTCGTTTTCCAACTGAAGAACTTTACAAGTTGAGTGAGCTACTTTCAATAAGACAGATATATATTCTATCAATAGTTTTACGGATACACAAATCTTTGCCTTTTAACTCAGAAATAATGACGAGAAGAAGAATAGATAGGGTAGCAGTAACTAGACACGTAAAAACCAAATTTGCTCAGCGTCAGTTCTTATCGCAATCTGCTCATCTCTACAACAGGCTGAACAAAGATTTGGATTTATATCACTTGAACAATACAAATGTAAACAAATAGTTACAAAGTATTTATATACTAATTTGAACGATGTTTATTGCAATATGCTAATTGATTTAATTTTATATTTATTATGTTGATATGTTGAAATAGGTTTTGGTGAATGAGAACTGTGACAATTTATACGAACTTACACATTCACACTCACACAATACACATATATTTTTACACAAACACATACACACACATGCGCACGTGCACGCGTCGAAAACGCTCTCATGCTTTTTTTTTTAAATTAAAATTCAGAATTAATCTATTTCAGGTAATATGTAAATTGAAAATATTGATTGTTGTTTTGCCTTGTTTTTTACTCTAAACTAATGTTAACATTAATTATTTTTATAAGTGTTTTTCCGAATTGTCTTCACAAACACATTTATAGATATTTAGTAAAGTAAGGAAGAGCGGGGCCACCTGGCACAAGTATTATTATTACTTAATAGGATGGTCCCAACCTCTGTTTACAGTTACAAACCACTGTGTTGTAAAATAAAGATTTTGTGAAATAAAGATTTTTGAATATTTATAATCGTTATAACAACACAACAAAACGCTAACACAGCCGACAACTGAACTGAACTAATCGCGTGTACAATGTAATATTTGAAACTGTTATAATATATTATAACAGTTTAAAATAACAGTTAGAAAAATATATTACAATAATATAACGAATTAGAAAAATATAACAGTTTCGCCCACCTTTATGTGTGGACGCGACGACCAAACTCTGCCAACAATCCTTTGATCTTTTGTAAAAAAATCGACACCACACGGATCTCGCGTCAACTTGTGATCCATCATTCCAATACATACCAATGAAGCCCAAATACCCGTTCTACACGACGGCCACTGTTATTGGCCACTACATTCGCCACTGTGTTGGCCAACGTGTAGAGCCGCCGATACAGATACGCTGCTGCTGTATCACAGCTGTAGTATGAATGGGCCTTCTCCACCGCGGAAGGACTAAATCACGTAATATCAACGCATAATATGGAGCTTAATGTTGCTGTTATTCGTATGCTGAATGCAGAGAACCAGAGATCCATTTTTACTGATAACGGGGAATTTTAATTTATAGTCCTCAATATCTGTATTTTGATTCCTTATTGATGATATTATGATGGGGGTTGTTGATGCCAATGGGTCAAAGCATCCAATTACCATAAGGTGGGCTGCGTGTTCATTTATCAACTTTATTGACTAATCACCGTGGTGGTTTGTTCATAATATCTCGTGTTAAATATTCAGTACAGTTAAATAATAAGCATTGATACATAAAGTAGATACCTATTGTTCTACCTTGGGGTGAACGCCTTCGTAGCCACATGTCAGTCCTTTGAATAGATCCGATACGTAACCTTCCGCCCCGCCAAGAAATTGTTGGAGGCTTGGGCATTGTTCTAGTTTAATACAGGTTGAACCACCACGACACGTTTCTGTAAGGAAAAAAAATGCAATTTCAGTAACGATCGCTTTGAGAAGCAACTGATCAATAATGAGACTAGAGTTCAGACTGAACGTCCCGAACCCATTTCTTTAAAATTAATCTGTTTTGTTATGTCTGTTGCGTGAACTTTTGTACATACAGCTAAGATTATCTCAGTTTAAAATCCAGTACAGTCTGTGATCTGAGTAAGAAATCTATCCAACTGCAGAACGATATAAGACTGGTTGACGTTATATCCAAATCGTTATATCGAAATAATAGCTCTTTACCTATACAATTGCCATTCTGCAGTAATATACTGGTGCCCCAGAAAAAATGGATAATCATGGAGCGCATAATAGTACAGCTTTTGAATACTCAAAGTAGTACAGGTATCAGGCGCTCAAATGAAAATACATACAAAAATATTCCAGGAGTTCCAATATTCCAAGGTGCCAAAAATATGAAGGTTTTAAAAAAATATGTATTTATTGACCTTTCTGTACTTTCATGTATCACTACCGCAAATTAATGAAATTCGTTGCGTTTTTGGTGTTCTTTTATTCCTCACAGACTATTCTATTAGAAATGCAGTTAAGAGTACGAGTATCAATTGTACTTTTTTTGCTAAATAAAAATTGCTTCAATTTTTAGCATGAAATTTTATAAAAAAAATAATTTTGACAAAAGTTTGAGAGCCATTCGTGAAAAAAAGTATAAAGACTTAAGTGGCCACTATTTCAAAAATATGCGCAGAATAGTACAGTTTACAAAATAGTATAATTAAAATTAAAAAAAAAATATTAAAAAAATCTTATCTTTTCTTTAACGGTGAAAATGACAAGGGTGTTCGTGAATGAGAGTCCTTTTTCTTGTAGTAAAGAATATCGGTATTTACTACCTCAGTGTGGCCCACGCTACCCATCTTTTGTTTATTACGATTTACGAGAGGGATAGGTAGTGTGAGTGAACGAGAGAAGAGTATAATGTTAATGTTAATAATAGGTTCTTATATATGAAATTGGCATTTTGTACGGGAGGAATATAAAGTCAATTTTTTTGTAACATTAACTTAATTAATCAAAGTATGCATCGTTGTTATCTGTAAACTTTTGCCATCTTGTAGGTAGTTCATTAATCCCTTTACTAAAAAAACCATGGGGGCGAAAATCAATAAACTCTTAGAAGGCGGTTTAGACTGCCGCATCGGAGTTGAATTTTTTTTCTTGTAAGAAGTTGTCCAAATTTGGGAAAAAATGGTAATCTGTCGAAGCAAGGTCCGGAGAGTAAGGTTGGATCTCGCAGACATTCGAATTGTAGCTCATCTAACTTAGTGGTTGTTTGTTGTGCAGTGTGTGGTCTTGCGTTGTCGTAAAACTGCATTGGCCTAGAGTGATTGACCAATCTCGGTTGTTTAGCAGCTAGTTCTTCCTTCATTGTTTGCTGACAATAAATATCTGCCGTAATCGTTTGGCCACATTTTAGAAAGCTGTAGCGAACAACACCGGCGCTGGTCCACCAAATCACAAGTAACTTTTTCTGAGTCAATTTTGGTTTAAGGCAGGATTTGGCTGGGTCTCCAGAGTTGGTTCTCTGGTTCTCCAGCCATTGCGAGGAGCGCTTCCGATTATCGTACAGTATCCACTTTTCATCACAAGTAATGATTCGATTTAAAATGCTTTCATTTTTGTGTCGGTTGAGCAAAGTAATTCAGCAGTCGACGCGAGTTTGCAAGTTCGTTTCACTCAATTCATGTTCATGAGTTCGTTCAAGTTTTTTTACTATCCCGACTTACTTCAAGTGGATTAATACAGTTTTATCACTTACTCCGAAGTCTGCAGTTATCTCTAAAGTACTTTTTGATGGATCCACTTCCACAATAGCCTTTAATTCTTTATTTTCCACTTTGGTCTCCGGCCGTCCACGGGGTTGGTTCTAAAGGTCGAAATTTCCAGAACGAAAACGTTGAAACCAAAAACATACCGTGCTTTCTTTTGCGACACCAGCACCGTACACATCATTAATGATTCGAGGTGTTTCTGCAGCACTGGTGCCACGGTAGAACTCCTACTCGTAAATATACCGATATTTCTTGTTTTCCATTGTGCGGTAATAAGCGACAACAAAGAAAAAAATAATAAAGAAAAAACAAATGAATGACTGTTTTCAAAACTCAAATGTACCAGCTAAATGAATTTATACATTTGAATTTGAAATTCTTAACCAAAGAGGAGATATTTCGGATCAAAGTGGCCAGTACGACAAAACGCTAATTTCATATTATGTAAGGAGCTACCTTTTCTCGCGCAACTTGGCACATAAAAAAGGCAAGTATTTAATGCGTCTCTCATAGATACTCTATACACCAGAGAGCAGAGAGTGTCTCTCGACTTGTTGGGTGTCGCATGTGTGCATTCCTTTTGGAGTTCTCTGTGATTTTAAAACCAGTGTTATAACGACGGCTCCTGGCTATTTTAATGAACTCTTAGTTTTGCTTTGTGATTTGGACTTTGTTTGGTAAGTTTACGATGACTTGGCTTGTATCTAGACTGATATTGTATATCAAGATGCCACGTATTCAATATACGGCACAAGAATACGCAAACATGCACTTCATTTATGGTGAATGCAGAAGCAACGCAAGTGCTGCTGCAGCCTTTTATAGGGAAAGATAATCTACCGCGCGTCACCCAGATTACCGCGTAGACTAGCTAATATCAATGCACACGACATTGTGCTTAACGAAATTGAGCAAGACCCGTCCAACTCTACTAGAGTAATAGCATGACGTACTGGAATCTAGAAGAAGACCGTGCACCGTGTATGGAAAAAAAATTTCATCCCCATCACATTAGACGCGTCCAAGCTCTACAACCGAGAGATTACAACGCACGATTGTTTTTTGACAATTGCTTGCAAAACAAGATCCACAATTCTTCGACAAAATTCTGTGGAGCGATGAATCCACTCCTAAAAAGATAGTAAAGTATCCATGCATAATCTGCACAGCTGGCAACTCTCAAATCCGCATTTAATGCGAAAAGAAAGATCACAATAACAGTTAAAAAAAATTTTTTTAGACTGGTATATTAAACGGAAAAATCATTGGTCCATTTGAACTGCCCGGAAACTTATCTGGACAAAGTTATTTGAATTTTCTACAAAATGATCTGCCAAATTTAATGGAAGAGGTGCCTGAGGAGGTGAGACAATCTCACTGGCTACAAAATGATGGTTGTCCTGCACATTATGCTGCAAACGTCCGTGTGTATCTATTTAAATGCCACGTATCTAAATAAATGTATTGGTCGTTTAGGTCCCATTTCGTGGCCTCCACGATTCCCGGACTGAAGTCCACTAGATTTTTTTTATTGGGGCTGTCTAAAAGAACAAGCCTATTTCGAGTTTCGAGGAATTGTGCAGTCGTGTGCAAAAGGCCACTTCAAAAATAACTAAATGGTGCTACGCACGACTTCTTATAAGAGCATTTATTAGATGTCGAGTTTATATCAGAGTCGGTGACAGACAATTTGAACACCTTTTATGAAATAAAGATTGATTTATTTACAACTTAATGCTTTTATTATCACAATTTAAGACAAGTTTTTTTTCTTCAGTCGATTTTATTCTTTTTGCATCTTAACGTTAAATAAATTTATTTATTATACCATTTTATAAACTGTATTAACGGCGCATATTTTTGAACTAGTTGGCCACTTAGGTCTTTATACTTTTTTTCACGAATGGCTCTCAAAAAAATGTCAAAATTATTTTTTTATAAAATTTTATGCTATAAATATTTTTTTATTTTGGAAAAAGTACAATAGATACTCATACTCTTTACTGCATTTCTAATAGAGTAGTTTGTGTGGAATAAGGAAACACCAAAAACGCAACGAATTTCATTAATTTGCGGCTGTGGTGTACATGAAAGTACAGTAAGGTCAATAAAAACATATTTTTTTAAAACCTTCATATTTTGGCCCCACTTGGAATTTTTTTTGTATTTTTATTTGAGCGCCTGATACCTGTACTATTAGGCGCTCCGGGATTATCCATTCTTTCTGGAACACCCGATATATATTTCGAATCAAAATAATTTTTGTTTAGCTAAGAATTCTAATTTTATTTCAAAACATGGAATTTTTTTTTAATTAGTCATTGGTTTATTAATTAGGGTTATGTTTTCATTGCATTTGAATCTTTTTCGACATCATGGATACTTTAAAAATTCGAGTGATTATGGAATAAGAGTCGTGGCAGTAACGCGGCACAAGCAGCACGCAATATCAACGACGTTTAAGAAACGAATACTACAAACGAACGCATCACCTGTTATTGGTTTGCCCGCTTCCGTTATGGAAATTTTAACTTAAAAATGAACCCCGTGGTCGCCCGAAAACTTTAGTCGACAATGATGAATTAAAGACGACTGTGGAAGCTGATGATACTTAATCTACGGCTAAATTAGCAGCAGCTTTCGCCGTTAGCATCAAAACAATATTGATCCATTTGCGTCATACTGACTAGGTAAAAAAGCTTGACATACGGGCGCCCCACGAACTCAACGATCGCCATCGCGAAGTAAGCGTCGAGACGTGCCTTGCACTGTTCAACAAGTACACAAACGAAGGAATTTTGGACCGCATTATTATCTGCGACGAAAATGGACTCTGTTTGACAGTTGCAAGCGCTCAGCAAGTTGTTTGAGTCCTGGTTCAGCAACTAAACAATGCGAATGCTAACGAAAAGTTATCCCCAGAAAAGTGATGGTTACTGTTTGGCGGTCTAGCGCAGGTATGATTTATTATAAACGGAATGAGCATTACTGCAGATGTGTACTGTGCAGAACTGAACACAATGATGGAGAAGCTCGCATGTTTCCAACCAACTTTGGTCAAATGCTATATTGTACTGGCGTGCCGCCGCCATATTGTGTCGGATATCCGGCCATAATAAAACAATTTTTAATTGTGTGTGCGCTGAATGAAGCATGCCAGAATTTGTTTT